TAGGACTTTTCTAGTCTTGAGTCACCATAAAGAAAATTATTGTCAAGATCCATTCTTCCTTTATTTTCCTAATGTGTACTGTGATATTAATACACAATCTATTAATATACTAGTAATAATTATATTAATATGTAACGTATTAATGAAACCTTCCTTTAGGTTAATTTGTTTTATATTTGTTCCAGCCCTTTTATTGAATCATTTAGTCTCATTGTATGAAATAAGTTCATTATGTTCAAATTTAGCCTTGGACAAGTTCTTAGGACAGGAGTAGTAGGCAGCTAGAGCCTTTGATGAAGTGTCACAGGAGTAGCCTCTCATCCAGTTGCTAATATTGTTTATAGTTTTTTTTAATTTTTTTTACTCTTTGGCTCTTTTGGTGGGCCTGCCACCCAGCTCCCAAATAAATACACAGAGGCTTATTATTTCTCATAAATGCATGGCCTTAGCTTGGCTTGTTTCTAGCCAGCTTTTCTTAACTTAAAATATCCCATCTACTTTTTGCCTCTGGGCTTTTATCTTTCTCTATTCTATATAACTTTCTTATTTCTTATGTTATGGATTGCTGTGTAGCTAGATGGCTGGCCCCTGAGTTCTCCTTTCTTCCTTTTCTTCCCCCTGATCTTCTCTTCCCAGATTTCTCCCTCTATATCTTTTCACTGCATGCCAGTCCCATCTATCCTTTCTCCTGACTTGCTATTGGCTGTTCAGTTCTTTTTCAGACAGGTAGAGTAACACAACTTCACAGAGTTAAACAAATGCAACATAAAAGGATGCAACACCACATCTTTGCGTCATTAAACAAATGTCCCACAGCATAAACACATCTTCAACTAATATTCCACAACAATTGTTACTGTCTAAAGCCCCTTGAGCTTGACTTCCAGGTTCCTACTAGAATGACCCTTTAGCATCTACTTATAGCATTCAACCACTGTTTCAGTCTAAAGTTCCAAAGTCCTCCACATTTCTTCAAATAAACCATGGTCAGGCTCTTCACAGCCACAACTCTCTGAAACCAACTTTGTATTAGTGACTTTCCAGTTCCTGTGATAAAATACCGTGATCTAGGTAATTTATGGAAGAGTTGATTTGGGAGTATGTTTCCAGAAGGATGAGAGCCCATCATGGTGGGGGTGCACAGCAGTAAGAAGAAGGCATGGTAGCAGGAGGGGGAAGCCAAAAACAAAAGCCATGTTTAATCAGCTCCTGAAGCAGAGAGCAACCGGGAAGTGGGAGAGTCTTCACACACTCAAAGACAGACCCCGGTGACAACTTCCTCCCACAAAACTCCACCTCCGAAAGGTTCCACAACCTCCTTAAAAAGCACCCAAACCTGGGACCAGTGTTCAAATATCTGAGCCTATGGGGGAAATTCTTTTTCAAACTGCCACAGACATATTTCCTGTAACAGTTTATATTTGGAGTTTTTTTTCTTTTATGCATTCCCAAAACCAGTTTGAATATACAGTCTATGAAGAGCTAGGTAATTATTGGTATATTTAGGCTTACGTCTGTAATGTCAGTTATAACTTTAAAAAGGGCAGCAGGATTTTGCAAAGAAGCTAACTTGAGGTCATCCTTCATAAGCGCTTTATTAGTCTATGGGACCCTTATTGTGGAGAATGGGTCTTCAGGTTGGAAGAGGAGTTTCATTAATTCATTAGGAGAGATAGCTTCCCTGCCTGGCATGATGGGGAGTACAGCGAAGTGTGCCAGCAGGGACCAGAGGAAAGAGCTTTCAGATACCCAGAACAAAGAGGACGTTAGGTAAGTTCCAGCAGGGGGCAGACAAGCTTCATACCATGCGGTCTAGCCTGGACTACATGCCAAGAGGCACAGAATCAGACTCTTGGGATTGCAAACTCACAGCTTAAAGGCGGAGAGGCTGGGCTTCTCTTCCCTGACCCTTATCCCAGTCTGAGTGTTCTGTCAGTTCTTTGTCCTGATTTCAGGGTAGGGGTGTGGGGGGACTGAGCTAAGAAGGTCTGAGATCTGGCAGCTGCTGTACATTTTCTATTTATCCAGTCCTTTCATGATTCTTTTCACCCTTGGTTTTTAGAGCAAGTAATTTTTTATTATTCTCGATTCCTTCCTGTGCTTATCCATAGTCATGTGTTGTTGCTATTCTTCTAGTGGCTTCCACAGAGATTATCCCGTACACTACTGACATATCAGAGTTGAAATGATTATTGTTCATCTCACCTTCTTCCAGGCAATTCAAGAGCCTCAAAAATTATAACGATCCCTTTCCTACCTTTCTATTTTTAATCTACTTTGTGTGTGTGTGTGTGTGTGTGTGTGTGTGTGTGTGTGTGTGTATGTGTGTGCATGTTTTGAGTTCATTCCATATGTGTGCACTGCCTGTGAATGCCAGTAAAGGGCATCAGATGGCCCTGGAGCTGGAGTGATAGGTGGTCATGAGCTGCTTCACATGTGTCCTGGGAACCACGTGGGTCCCCTACAAGAGCAGTATGTGCTCTTAGCCACAAAGCTGCCTCTCTAGCCCTAGCCCCTTCCTCTATTACCTGTTTTAACCGATGCTGCTGCTGCTGCTGCTGCTGCTGCTGCTGCTCCATCCCATTGGCGTCCTGTGGGTTAGTGACGTGTTTTCCATCCTGGTACTCTTCTCTGTTCTCCATCTCTGAGTGCCCATCTATTTTCCTCCGCTTAAAGCATCCTCTTCAGTATCCTCTTTAGCGTGTGTCTATTCCCATTGGTTCTCTCAATTTTTGTTTGTCAAAACCTTGTTTGACATTTGGCTGTCCTTCCTGAAGGATTTTTTCTCGTGATTGGTAATGCTGGGTTGGCATTTGTTTTATGTCAGGAATCTTTTGTTTTCTGGTCTTTCCTCCTTCGGCTCTATGCAGAAACTGGCTGATGTCCGTCCACCTGTGTACCGCACAAGGATGCCGTGTCCTTCAGTCTCACTTGATTGCTTCTGTACTTTTTGTTTTAGCATTTTTTCTAGGATGCACACAAAACTGCATTGCTTTCTTCTAATGTTTATCTCTCAGAGCCCTAAGATTCCCCGAATTCTGTGGCCGTTACATGTTATAATAGAGAAGTAACGATAAAACAGCAGGATTGGTTGGCTTGGGAAAAGGAAGCTGGCACAGAATTCCCTTCAGAAAAATGCAGTTTATTAGAAGAGAGGGCCTTGAAGCCATCACCAGGCCTTCACACGGGATTAGATATATGGAGATGTGAACATGATGGAGCCCTAGAGGGATGTAGAGGCTTTACCTCAGTGCCTGGAGAAAAGCCTCATTAAGGGTAAGAAAGGGTTTTACTAACTTTCTCTTTAATTGAACTACTCTGTTTATTTACTAAGTATGTTTCGTTCATATTTTGTCATTGTTGCTTTAGAATTCCCCATAATTCTTCTCTCACAGAATAAGAAGTCAGAATTTAAAAAGGGATTTTTTTTTCTTTAACCAAGTGGTGGAGTGAAGCTTTGGGAAAAGTAGACTAACAGTTGTTACCATGGCAACACTTTTATTACTCAAGGCTCAGAATCATTTCCTGAAGCAGCTCAGGTTATCTAGTTCTCACGTTTCAATTCTGATACTTTTCCCCATGCTCATGTTTAAAATCTGATTCATTATCAGTCATATTTTCATATATTTTTTTAAAACATGTATATCTACTGACTAACATTCTATTAGCTGCTAAGCAAGACAGACACTGTTATGAGCAGACTATCAGCCTGTCTTCAAACTGTCTCTTCCTTTATGTTCAGGTCAAATTTTATGCTGCAAGCTGAGCATGCCTGGAGGCATTTGTCCACCACCTTAATTTAATCCTTCAAACGGTGCTTTCATGATCTTGAGCCTGGCACCCAGATAGCATTTACTATTTTTTTTTCTTGGAGTTTTCTTTTAACCTTAAAATGAGCATGCTCAGGAATGTAATGCTTTCTTGAGTTTGCCCAGGCTTGGGTCATCCCCTACTAAATATATATAGGCTACCTAAATAACACACTCATGATCCTTTAGTTTGATGAGGTCCTTGCTTTCCCTCACCTGATCCCACCCACAAATCTTTCCCATTCTTTAATATCTTGACTATGCTTGTTTTGGCTTCATTATCAGTGACAGGAGACCCCACTGCATTTGGTCTGTTGACAAAAGACACAGCCCTCACCTCAAAGGATAAGGGAGTTTATTCCAGAGCTAAGTATAAGTGACCGTTGTTGAGGAACACAATCTGACTTCTTCAAATACCATGTTCCAACAAGGCAGCAATTTCAGGAACTTTTATAGTAACAGAACAAAGAAAGTCATAAACCTAACACACTTTTCAACTCCATTGGTGAGTATGCATCATGATGAGCAAAAACGGCTCTCTATTTCATCCTAGCTGATGAAATTTTTAGAAGGATTAGGAGGTGTGGTTTTGTTGGAGTAAATGTGTCCTCGTTGGAGGAGGTGTGTTGACAGGAGTGGGCTTTGAGGTTTCAAAAGCCCATGCCAGGCCTAGTGTCTCTCTGCCTGCTGCCTGTGGATCCGGATGTAAAGCTCTCAGCTATGGCTCCAGTGCCACACTTATCTCTCTGCTTCCTGCCATGATGGTAGTAGACTCACACTCTGAGACTGTATGCTAGACATCCATTAAATGCCTCCTTTTGTAAGAGTTGCTTTGGTCATGGTTTCTCTTCACAGCACTAGAACAGTAACTAAGACAGTACATCAGGTAGGCAGGTTCCAGCAATGTTGGGGAAAACTCGGCCTTAGGCCTTCGATGCCATCGGACAGCTTTCTTAGCCCTTCGATTGGCAGAAACTAGGAGTTTGTTGATACATTCCAAAGGGTTTACCTAATGGTCACCACAGACATTGATTGAGTCATGCATAGAGGGGGACAATAAATGGCTACTAAGGGGACTAGAGATGTCCCCAAGATAATTTGGCTCTGGACTGGCAACACTTCAGCCTCTCCGTGTCACTGATGTTCTTTCTCTTCAATCAATCAGCTTTTGTAGTTACGCATCTCCCAGGTGACACTCCCCTCGTTGAAGCAGACAAACAGTAAGGGCCAGCTAGGGATGTTTTTCGTTTTTAATAACAATTTTCCTGGAAGATCTGGAGGATGAAGCAGAGTAACCTTAAATGAAAGGCCTCCCAGATCAACCTAATGAGACATTATCTGAAAATGGCTGTGGATGGAGCTGACTTGCCTCGCATGTCAGGCCCCTAGGTTCAACTTCAACTAGACAAAGAAACAACGCTGATAATCCTCTCTGTGTACACACAGCACAACACACACACAGTTTTCCTCTTACTGCACACGTTCTAATTCTGGCTACGGATTAGGGTGAACAACAGGTGGAAATGAAGAACTAACCATCACTAACCGTATCACTCGGGGTCTATTTATGCTACTGATTTCATTTGTTTCTTTGTGCCATCTTGTTGACCATGACAAGAGACACGGCCCATCTGTTATGTGTTTCTCCGTGTGTAAAGGAAGTTGGCAAACTGGCTGCAGGCTGTTGTTTGCTTGTTGTCAGGGCTGAGGTCACCAGAACCCCGTGGAGGAATCTCCATTACTAGGATTGCCCGAGGTAGAGGGATGTGTAACCATCCGGTGGTGCCTCATCTGGAAATACAGATGGGGATGTTGTCCTGACTTCGGGCCTCCTGTACAGCAGCCAGTTCTGAGGCTCCTCTTCACTTGGGCATGACTGGGAAGAAGGACGAAGCCAGATTTATTTGTGGGACGAGATTTCTTTTCAGGCTTTTCCTCCGTGACTGTGGAACAAAGGAGACATTCATCAGGGAAATAAAAGCATTAAAGACAGGTTTCCCCCCTTGCACCGTTAAAGAGTTTTCATCCTCTTAGACAAGCAGTGAAGTGATTTCAACAATCCTGTGTGTCTCCAGGCAGAAGAGTGTTGATGGGAAGAGGTAAGACCCCCAAAGGGTCCTGGAAGAGCTTTGCAGCTACTTAATAGGGTGCTTCTCCGTTCTAGGACCCATGTACCCTGACTTGAAAGGGTTGACAGGAGGATCTACCACAAGTATGAGTCCAGCCTGGAACATAACAAGTTCCAGGCTAGCCAGGGCTACATGACGAGATCCCAAAAGCACACCTTGGCGCAGTGAGATGGCCCAGCTCCTGACAGCACTTTCTGTACAGACCTGGCGGTGTGAGTTCTGTCCCCTGATCTCACTGTGCAAGGCGGGAACTGACTCCTGCAGGCTCTCCTCTGACCTCCATACATACGCTGTGACATGCATGTGCATACACACACACACACACACACACACACACACACACACACACACACACACAGACATACACACACACACACACACAAATGAAAACCCATAGATAGATACATAGAGTTAGACACATTTTTGTCAGCAACATTCGATCAGCACTTATAAGAGACACTAGATGAACACCATATGTTTCTGAGATATTTCTGGGATTTGGTTACAAAATTTTGTAACACAAGAAGAGAAGAGGAGACATGCAAGGTGAGGAAAGAGACAGAAAGCTCCGAGGCCCAGCCTTTTCTTCAAGGGTCCTGTACACCTGGGTCCTAACAGGTTGTATCTCCGCTTCTCTCTCCCTGAGACAAACTAGGAGGCTCAGGCCCCTTTATGACATGCACACTCCAGCAGATGGAGTGTCCCCGTGCCTCAGGTGTCCTCCTCTCTGCCATTTTCTATCCTTCATTTCGTCCCTAAGCCCACTACTCAGCAGCTTCTCGCTCCTTCTTGGTGTGAGTCTGAGAGAATGAGTCTGACAAAGGTATACCCTTGGGATTTACAATCCAGCAGAGTAGACAATGAAGAGAAATGAGTGTTCAAGGAAAACCAAGGTGCCATCGTAGAAAAGCAGAATTACTATATGACAGGAAGTCCGATGGTAATGAGGGTAGGGAGGAAAATAAAACTGAACGAGGGGGCTGTCATTGTTCGTGTGTTCTCAGAGCTTATTCCCACCAGGAGATCCCAGAAGCTCCCGTACTTCCAAGTTATACTGCATTACATTTAAACATTGAGGCTCTGAAGTCAAGCTTCTAGGTTTAAATCCCAGCTCTATCACCAGGTTCTTTGGGAATCTTTGATAGTTGTTTATGCCCTATGCTTCAGTTTTTGGACCTGCAAAATGGGGGTGTTAATTTTAATGCACCGTTGCAGAGATACAAGAGTGCATGCCAAGCGCACAGCCTCAGACTTGGCACATTAATTTAAAGGTAAAATTAGCCGTAATTATCAATTGTATCATCAGATTGAATTGTGTGTGTGTGTGTGTCTGTGTGCGTGTGTGTGTGTGTGAGTGTGTGTGTGTGTGCTAGCGGTCAGCGTCAGGTGTCTTCCTCGATCACTCACTCACTGTCTTATTTTTTCTCACTGCACTTGGAGTTGAGAAATGTAGCTAAACTGACTGGTCCGTAGTCCCAGCAATCTCGTCTCCATCTCTCCAGTACTGAGATTACAGACATACACCGTTGCACCCAGATTATTATGTGGGTGCTGAGTGTCCAAACTCAGGTCCCCATGCTCGAAGGGTAAGCACTTTAGCAACTGAGTACAGTTTTTTCACTTGAAATGAAATGGTAAGAATGGAGTACGCTGGCATATGTACTGTCTTCAGTATAGCCATTTCTCTGTGACTAGGCATTTCTCTAAGTTTGAAAATGGGTTACATGCCACGGAGTTCATGTTCTTATGTTTTCTCCACATTTCGACTTTTTTGAAGATTTTCTTGTCTTTCTTTCTTTTCTTTTTCTTTCTTTCTTTTTTTTTGAGACAGGGGCTCACTACATAACCCTGACATCTCTGTAACTCTGTATGTAGACCAGGCTGGCCTCAAACTCACAGAGATCTGCCTGCCTCTGCCTGAGTGCTGGGATTAAAGTTGTGTGCCACCACACCTGGCCCTTTGTTTGATTTTTGTGGCACTTAGGGATTGAACCTGTGGTGGTATTGTGTTCCCCGAAATATTGTGCACCCTAATAAACTTATCTGGGGTCAGAGACAGAACAGCCACAATATTAAATATAGAGGATAGGCAGTGGTAGCACAGGCCTTTAATCCCAGCACTTGGGAGGCAGAGCTAGGCAGAAATCCATGTGTTCAAGGATACAGCCAAGCATGGTGACTCACGCCTTTAATCCCAGAAAGCGAGCCTTTAATCCCAGGGAGTGGTGTTAGAAAGCAGAAAGGTATATAAGGCGTGAGGACCAGAAACTAGAAGCATTTGGCTGGTTAAGCTTTTAGGCTTTGAGCAGCACAGTTCAGCGGAGACCCATTCTGGATGAGGACACAGAGGTTTCCAGTCAGAGGAAATAGGATCAGCTGAGAAACTAGCAAGGTGAGGAAGCTGTGGCTTGTTCTGTCTCTCTGATCTTCCAGCATTCAACCCAATAACTGGCCTCAGGTTAGTTTTTATTAATAAGAACTGTTAAGATTTCTGCTACATGAACCCAGGGCCTTGTGCCTGATAGTTAACTACCACTGAGTTACCAACCCACGCCCTTCTAGCCATGACTAAGTTTTAATTCCATTATGCTGGTTCTTAAGACCTATGTGGACATCTTTTTTTCTAAGCTTTGTATTTGCTTGGAAAATAAACTTTTATTTACTATCAGATTAGATAAAATTGTAAAGAATAAAAATATGGGACACTAAATATATGAATTGTAAAACCCAACACAGATAAACTTTTTTACCTTTTACTTTTGGATTACATATAAAATGATGTTTCATCCATTCCTTATATCTAAAAGCAAAAATTATTTTTATAGAAAACGCCTCTATTGCCAATAGCTCTTTCTCAAATAATTGATAGCAAGGCTGATTAATGGGACTCATCCACAGTTCCATTCAGTGCAAAATCTAACTAAATTATGAAGACATTTTTCATCTTGATATAATAAAATAGCTTTTTAAAGTGGTTAGTCTTGTTGGCACTGTGTCCGTAATTAGTTACTGAGTTAGCAATGGACAATAAAAGCCATACACTGGGTTACATCTTTCTCTTAACTCAGGATCCATGCTGATGATTAGATAGATGAGTGAATGAAGGTTAAGTCAGGCCCATGGACACTTCTAGGGCTATTGGAATCAGCTCTGATCATGAAATCTGAAGGGAAAGATCTAGGGCTTAGTACTTCATTAACTGCCCAAATGCAAGATAGACCTAACATTTTCTTTTAACTCAATTGTAAAAAATTAAGAGAATCCTTTATAAGAACACATTTAATTTTGAAAAATTGCAGTTATTTCCTATTAACGCATGGGGACCACCACTGCTGGTAAGCTCACTGATACCAGGGCTCCCACAGCCACCATAACTGCAGTAAGACTCCACAGTGAGGACAGTAACACTGAATAGCCATGTTGTATCCAGTTGCTTGGCTTCTAAAGCCACTCAAAGAACTTATTTGGTGATCACCAGGATAGCCTCATTTATGGTGATATTTCATTTGTACTGAAATGTGATTTTATTTGTATGTTAATAAATAAAGTTGCCTGGGGGTCAGAGCTAAGAGCAAGCCATAGCAGAAGCCAGGTGGTGGTGGTGCATGCCTTTAATCCCAATCACATGACAGGCAGATCTCTGTGTATTCAAGGATACAGCCAGCATGGAGACACATGCCTTTAATCTCAATACCAACTATAGAAGACCTGGAGGTCTGTATAGACAAGCAGTGATGAGGTGGTCATGTGGTTGGGTTTACAACCAATGAGAAGGCAGAACAGAAAGTCAATAAAAAGACAGATACACAGGAAGTAGGTCTCTTTCTGAGGGGAAGGACAGCAGCAGCAGTGAAGGGTAAGAAAGGGTTTTTAGTATCAGCTGTTAGCTACTGCTCTGACCTCTTAGGCTTTTAACTGTACATTTGGCTCTGTGTACATCTATACTCATTTGTTCAGACCCACAGGTTGTATTTGATTTTCCTCTCACTTCTACCCAACAAACACATGACTTTAATCTCACTGAGCTAAACTTGTACACATCTGGAATATCCATGAAAATACACACTGACATAATTGTAGGCTCAGAATGTTTTTGGGGGGCAGAGAAGCATTTAAAAACAAAATACGTATGTGTGTGTGGAACTAGAGTGCTCTGTGGGGTGCACATAACTTACTTTATCGTGTTGAACATGAGTGCCCTTCTTCCTCCCATGAACACCCTCTACCGAATCTCTCTGCGCTTCAGAGCCAATGAGTGGAAGGAACCTTAGGCTTGTGGGACTCGGAACCTGTAAACCACAGACTGAGTTAAGCACATTTATAGTGTTTATTTCTGGGAATGTAAACCCGAGGAGGGGGTGTCACAGGAGAGGTCCATCTGCTTCAAGCACACGCTCCTTTTCAGACATCCATTGTTCTGTCTTTTTCCCTGTGTAAATTTGGTTTGCCTTATTTTATTTTTTTAAATTAAAAAAAAATTTTGATTGTGTTTGGGTGATCTGTCTGCAGGTATGTCTGTGTACCATGCATGTTCTTGGTGTCTTCAGTCCCTAGAAGAGGGTGTTGGATCCCCTGGAACTGGAGTTATTGGAAGTTGTGAGCTGCCATGTGGATGCTGGGAATTGAACCCAGGTCTCTGGAAGAGCAGCAAATATTCTTAACCACTGAGTCATTTTCTTCAGCCCCCTGCTGGCCTTGAACTCTACAGTCCTCTGCCTCTTCCTTGCTAGTGCTGGGAATATAGGTGTATATTACCTTATTGTTAATTCAGTGTGTGTGTGTGTGTGTGTGTGTGTGTGTGTGTATAAGTGTTCAGGTGTATGTGTGCACTCATGCTTATGGGGACCAAAGACTGATATGAGTTGTCTTCCTGATCACTCTCTGCTTTATTTACTGATGCAGGGTAATTGGAGCTTGCCAGTTCAGGCTGGTCAAGCTAGCCAGCTTGCCTAGCAGATGCCCTGGGTCCTCTGCCTCCTAAGCACTGGGATTACAGGTGAGCTGCCTTGACTTCTCAGCTTTTATGTGAGCTCTGACGATCTGAACGCTCTGGTCCTGGTGCTTGTATGGCAAGTGCTTTATCTACTGAGACATCTCCCCAGCCCCACTCCCTTATTTTTTGAGGTCTAGTCTCTCACTGAACCTCAACCTCACTAATTAAACTGGACTAGGTGGTCAAGAACCCCAGGGATCTTCTGTTTCTGCTCCTGATCCCCTTGCCCCCTCACAGGGATTACACATGTACCCTACAGTGTTCAATTTGTGTGTGTGTGTGTGTGTGTGTGTGTGTGTGTGTGTGTGTGTGTGTGTGCTGGGGATCCAAACTGAAGTCCTTATACTTGTGTGGCAAGCCCTTTAATGACTGAACCATCTCCCCAGTTAATTCTTGACGACTGTCAGCATCATTGTTCTTTGTTATCTACTACAATAAACAAGTCCTCATAAAGATAAGTAATGTTGAAGCTCTGTGTTGACATTAAGTGACATATTTGGTTTATTATTTCTTGTTTTTTTCATTAGTTACTTAACACTGGTTATCTGGGGGTGGAGACTTGGACACGAGATCTGATGGCTATTGAGCAGATAGCAGCATGGGCACCATGATGGAGTATCCAGTGGTACTCAAGCCTGCTGGAATATAGAGACAGTACAGGGAGAATGTGGTAGAAAACAGGGTCCAAAAGTCTGGCAGAGCCAGATCATAGAAGGTTTATATGCTACTCTATGGCATTTGGATTTTATCCTGGAGGTATAAACCACTTGATCAAAGCACAAAATCACTCTTATGTGCAATGGCAGAGATGAGCAGTTCAAGCTACTGACATACATAACTCAAGACTTGCCTAGGATGGGACCCAGTACATTTATGGAAGCATCGTGGGCTGATTATGTCAGCAATGAGAAGTCAGACTTCGTATTGCCCTGTTACTACCCTAGTTATAGAAACTTCTGACTTACCCTGTATATAGGCAGAGAACCAAAAACAATCCCCGCCTCTCTGTTTTCTGTCATGAAACCTTCCAAAGCATACCGGCGAATCTACAAAACAATGCAATGATTTATTAGAAAGGGCACGTTCTGGACACCAAATACCCATCAAAAACCTGACCCACTAATGCAAGATCTTAGGCAAGTTCTCTGTTGATGATAAATTTAGGGAAAGGAGCTACCCCAAAGGAAGCTTGACTATCATATTATTGGTACTGTAAACCACATGTCAAAAGGAAATGATCAGAAAGCTGTCTAGTTTAATCAGAGACTCCAAGTGAATCTTATCTCAACTCAACTGGCATTGAAGTCTTTTCATTCACTGGACCAATGAGGTGGGAAGATAGGAAGGCAAGGGAAGAAATTTAGGATATTCAAGTGTTTCAAGGACTCTACAAAGCCTTTCTAAGGATTTTAAACAATTTATTTAATATTTCATTTATCACCTCACCTTTGGTTTGTTTCGTGTGTGTGTGTGTGTGTGTGTGTGTGTTGATTTTTGAGACAAGTCTCTCTTTGTAGCCTTGGCCAGCCCAAAACTCACTATGTAGACCAAGCTAACCTCCTACCCTAGCATTCTTCTGCCCATCTCCTGAGCTCCAATGTACATAATAGGGCATGGCTATTTTCAACCATTTCTGATAATGCCACATTGATTTTCAATGACTCTCTACCAGGTCATATGACTGCCACCAGAAGATTAGTGCTTCTGGTGTCATCAGACTCTTTATTTAGACCCTGGGAGGTCTAAAGTGGAATCCCACAGTGCTATTGATGTGTATTTACTTGTGTACTCAAGAGGTTAGGTGTCTTTTGTGTGCTTATTGGCCTGCACTTTTTCTTTAGTGAAATATCCAAGCTTTTAAAGCAGTTTTTGGACTCTCTTTTTACTCATTTTTTTTTTCATATTCCAGATGCCAACAGTGTTCATACAGAAGTGTTCTGAAGACAGGGTGGGTTCGGACAGATGAAGACACAGTCTGGTTGTGTCGAGGGCATCCCAGATGAACTGCACATTAGGGACAGAAAACTCAGGAAGACAGTAAATATGTTTGGTAGACAGCGAGGCAGTAGTGGACTAGAGATTAATCCAGACACGTGTGCTTGCTCTATTTGTGGGCGAGCCAGAGGAAATACATTTTTAATCAATTAATTAATCCCAGACCTCTGGCGAACCTCACACTACATCCATCCTCTAGCATGGTTAAATAGTAACAGCTCACTTTTCTCAGACTGCCCTGTAAACAAAATGTGCCTATGAATACAGAATGTACACCAGTGATGTCTACACCCTATTTCCCCGCCCTCAACCTGGGAGTTCTATGCACGGACTTTACTTTTGAGGGGAGAGGTTCTCCTGACTTACTTGAGTGCCCCCAGGTAATCACTTGACTCCTCAAAGTACAGAACCTTTCCTACTGAGTCAGGGCCCCCCATAACAATGTGCTCAGTGAGAACCTGCATTTCTGACTTTGACAATGAAGGAAGGGTACACAAACTAAGGAATGTGGGTTCCCCAACCACCTCAATATCTTAAAAAAAAAAAACAACACAGCTCTGTCTACACTTTAGTTTCAATCCTATGAGAGTCATTTCAGTGTTTAAAAAAAAATAATAATACACAAATTGTCATCTAGCCCAGACAGACCTTGAACTCCACAGGTCTCTGAGGATGGCCTTGAACTCTTGACCCTCCTTCTTCTACTTCCCAAATGCTGGGATTATAGGCAAGCACTCTGCTCTCATTTTAGTTTTTTTTCCCTTTTAACCTACAAATCTGAGAGGTAATTGCTTTGTATTGTTTATTCCAAAAGAAAAAAAAAAAATACCTGTGGCGGTTTGCAAGAGTAACAACAGAAAACTAGCCTGCTACAGGAGAGGGAATATTTGGATTCAAAAATTCAAAAGTAAAGGTAAGTTTTGTTATTTTAGCTACCTTCGGAGAAGAAAGAGACTTGAAAAATTTAAAATCGTGTTGCACTTCAAAGGGCTTGGGAGGTGTGCGTTTGAAAAGCAAAGACATTGAGCTCATTTTTTTCCATCTGCATACAAAAATACAACAAAAAAAGTCAAGCACATAGCTATAACTTGCATTCCTTGCCAAGTGAGCAAATCTCCACCCTGTCTTTGTGTCCTTCCCCTCTGCTCCCCACACTGCCTGACTTTCATGGCACCAGTCCCAGAAACACTGACTATCTACCTAATCCTTATTCCATTTTGCTCCCTAGATCTCCCTCGAGGGAAAACTACAGCAATTCTACTCTGCCAGAATTGTCCATGTAATTAAAATCATCAATTGTCATTTGCGGGGAGCCCTACGTAGTCAGGATGAGGGGAAAGTCTTATAAATTCAAGGCCTGACTTTTGAGTAACCTTGGGAAGCTTCCTTTACAGTTAAAGCTTATTTACATATATATTTAGAAAGCCATAGCTAAGCATTAGAAACACTTTTAAAAAAGCAATCAATAATATATCTTGAGATGGGATTGTTCTGGGGCCAGGGAGATGGTTCATTGAGTGAAGATGCCAAGTCTGGTGATCTGAGTTCAATTCCCAGGATGTACACAGTGAAAGGAGAGAACCGACTATTGCATGTTGTTCTCTGACCTCCAAGACTTGCTGTGGCATGAGCTCTCTGTTTCTCCCCATACAAATAAACAAATGTAATGTAACGAAGTCATTCTTTAGAACAAGGCTTAATTTGCTAAATTTGCTATACAGAGCAAATTTATCTTTTTTTTTTTTTTTTTTTTGGTTTTTCGAGACAGGGTTTCTCTGTGTAGCTTTGCGCCTTTCCTGGAACTCGCTTATGGAGACCAGGCTGGCCTCGAACTCACAGAGATCCGCCTGGCTCTGCCTCCCGAGTGCTGGGATTAAAGGCGTGCGCCACCACCGCCCGGCCAAAGTTATCTTTTAATAACACAGCATAAGCACATATCATACATTTAAATTATCCAAGGCATGATGACCCTTTGATGCTTTGGTATCTACTACTTAGGCCTGTCCCCTGTGTTTGTAATAGTCACTACTAGTTTTTCAGAACTATTTTTTGAGTGCCTCTTGGATGCTGGCATTGAGCTAAGTTCTGGGGATACAAAGATGCATAAGCAAAACTATGGTCCTTTAAAGGACTCATGAGTAAAGGAGACTCACATCCATAAACTAGAACACAGAATCTGAAGTATTAAGATACATGATAGTTAATATTGTCAGCTCAGCAGGAGTTAGAATCACAAGAAATAAGCTTCTGGGCTTGTCTGTGATGGATTATCCAAGATTAGGTTGATTGAGGTGAGAAAGCATGCTCCAAATATGGACAGCATTATGCCAGGGCCTGGGGTCCTGATGGAATGCAAGAGGGAAAGTGACATAATCAACATTCATCACTCTCTGCTTCAGGACCAACTGCCTCAGGCTCCTGTTGCCATGACTTCCATGGCAAGACAGACTGTACCCTGGAAGCCTGGGCCCAAACAAACTCTTCCTTAAGTTACCTTTGCCAGGCATTTGGTCACAGCAGGAACTGGAGTAACTAATACAGGCTACATGGATATTCAAGTCTGGAAAGTTACCCCCAAGATAGGGCTAATCATCTCTCGTGGCTGAACTTGGCTACATCCTGATGGGCTTCGTTCTACAAGTCTATCTCTTATATTTTAGCCAGGCTCCTTCCCATTGCTCCTTCCTGGCCAGCCAAGGCAAGCCTTGAGCCTTCTGGTGGGGCTTTTCTGTCACCTGGAGACCTTCCCAATTCTTCCCACGTTGGTTGTATATTTTTGAGTCCTGTGGTTTCCATTCTTAGCTTCAATTCTTATTTCCAACCATTTTTGGCTTTTCTTATATTAAACGATGGCATCTGGTTTTCCCGGTTTTGACTGACTTAGGGTTCTCCTAAAGGAACTGCTCTTTGACAACCCCTCAGAGGCTTCCTGCTTGGGAATCATCCTTGTTGGCTCTCCAAGTTCTGATTTACAGGATTATCACCAGCCTAGGCAGATCTTTTTTGTTGTTGTTGTTGTTTAAGCTGGCCATTTAGATGTCTACTGTATAAGCTTAGCTCAGATGAGCGGCAGTCTCTTCTGCTAGGACAAAGGCCAGTCAAAAAGCAAGAGATGACATCTGTAAAATGCTTTCTTCCTTACATTCCATTTCCCTTCCTCCATGCCTTTGAGCATCCCCAGGCTTTCACACAAAAAACAAACCCTTGAAACAGTCTCTCCTGCAATGCTTACAACTACTTACTTCCTTTAAAAAGTAATCTATGTTAATTGTATTTTTGATGACTGTTACCACAGCTCCCCTTTCCTCCTTTACATGCAGTTTCCTCCTTCCTCAGCCTTTAATAAGCTCTATTACGTATATTTTTTTTATTGTTGTTGTTCTTCTGAAATAGGGTTTCATTATGTATCTCTGGCTGGCCTGAAACTTGTTACAAAGCCAGACTGGCCTTGAACTTTCACTGATCTTTCTGCCTCTGTTGAGATTACAGACACATGCTACCAAGCCTAGAGCTACTGGGTACTTGGGTTGACTGGTTTTCCTAAATAATCAGCAAGAACCTTGAAGGCTCCAAGCATAAAGTAATGTCAGCCAAAATGGAAACACTAATCACCATCATTTTAAGTACATATTATATGTGTGGCACAAATACATGTGCCAAAATATTATATTGTAATACATAATAAATGCAATTATTAAATGTTAATAAAAAACTCAAAATAATATACAAGGAAAGGTAAAGTTAACTTTACCTGTAGCTTTCTTAACTTTTGCCTTGTCATTTTTCTCCTGTCACTCCAATGAAATGACCCTTCCAGGGTCATCAAGGACTTTCTGGCCTCAAGCCCAATACCTCCTTCTCTGTTGCGTGGCTTTGTTCCTGTACACTACAAAAGCTCTGCTTTGCTTTCTTACACACTCTCTCCCTCGATTTCCCCTATATTGCTTGTTTGTGGTTTTTTTCTTCCTATATGTCAGCTCTTTTCTTTTAAGATTTTTTTCCACACCCATCTCTTCCCAGTCCTTCTCTTTATTTCTTCAGTAGTTTTCTGTTTTTCTGACTCAAGACATGGTACCTGAATGCCTTATCCACAGTGAAAATATTACTATGATAACTGACTTCAAATCCTTGTCTACAGCCGTGGACTCTCAGCATGTCTAGGCGGATCGGACCTGAGTGCATCTGCTCTACCTGGACGGACCACAAGCATTGTAGACTGAACCCTGTCCCAAACCAAACCCATCGGGTTTTCCTTTGTGCCCTGTTCCCTGCTGTGTGACCCCTGTTCCAGTGAGGTCCATGGTTTGAATTTCTCAATTTGGCTCACAGACTTGGTCATGTGACCTCTGTAGATTTCTTTTTCTTTAGATTTTAGTTTTACATTTATATATGTATCTATGTGAGTACATACACACGTGTGCAGGTGTCTTTGGAGGCTAGGAGTCACAGATAGTTGTAAGCCACATGATATGGGTGCTGGGAATTGAACTGTGGTCCTCTGTAAGAACAGTAAGTGCTCTTAACCCCAGAGCCACTTCTTCAGCCCATTTATTGTTGTGTTTTTGTTTCTTTTTTTTTTTTTTTGACACAGAGTTTTGCTAGGTAGCCCATGAAAGCCTTGGGAGTCCTGAGATCGCAGGTTTGAGCAGACGGGACTCTGGTTCTATTAGACTTTTGCAGCTTCATCTCCCATATCTCCCCCACATCCCCCGACCCTGGGCTCCACAGTTAGGACTATATCACATCACGGTCTCGAGTTACTCGGTGGCTCTGCTGACACAAACTTTTTTTGTTCTTCTTTGGTATTGCTCATTGGTTATTAACAATGAGGTGTTCTCAGGACTACAGCACTGAATTATAGTTTTTATTTATGTATTTCTCTCTTGCATGGGGCTTCACAATTATTGAAAAGTTTTGGTTTTGAATTCCCTGTTCTACTGCCGTGCCACCACATAGTAATAATTTAATTCTTATCTGTTCATTGAAAGGAAACCGAATGTTCTCACCTTTCACGGTCAAATATCAGAGGATATTCATATTTCTGCTGCTTCTCTGTGAACTTGCTTTCTTCTTTTATCTCTATGGGATATTCATTAACATCACAAGGCAAAATGACATCAGTTGTTAGAGTTAAATCAAACATTCTTCGTTGTCCGAAATAGCCACAGTAATGACCGCTGTTAGAATGCCAGAGCCTGAAGGAGAGTCGAGGAAGAGAGGGGAAGTAACTGGGGTGGTCAGAAGAAGTGAGCTTGATCACAGGTCATACGTCACACGAACTGTATTGGTCTACCAAGGATCGTAGTAAAGTTCATTCAGGACTCTTTCCCCCAAATGCTGCTGAGCTAATCATTATGTAAGACTTTATTTTTGAGCTCAGTGCTTCAAGCATACCAGATAAGCACCAGACTGCACTCTGAGCCTTTAATGTAAACATTTTTACAAGTCAGAACTCTAACCTGTAACTTTTTGGCATTAGCCAATTTGAACTTGTACCAGCAATCTTCACTGATCTAAGCTAGAAAACAAGGAAGACACTTCTCTCCAAACAACCCTGCTAACACAAGCTGACCAGAACCCACATTGGGAGTCTGTGAGCTAAAGTAGATCCTACAGTGGGCTGTGTTTCATCTGTCTATTTAGGAAATCATCACCAATAGAACTCATGAGACAAGAGATCTGGGGATGCTTCTAGTAGAGAATGATAAATAATAAAATTCTTTACCCATTTGTATTATTTCCCTATCTGTTGGCCCCAAGAAGCTCCAATTTGCCCAGGGGACTTAACTAATATAGAATACCATTAGCAGGAATGTGTGCTCTGTGTCTTACAGAGAGATGTTTTGTGTCTTTGTTTGTTTTCATTTAGATATTTTTTTTTGAGAGCAGATCTCACTAAGTAGCCTAGTCTAGCCATCCAGAGATTTATAGGAAGTTCTTGGCTAGACAAGCTAGACAAGCTCACATAGTAAGATACCGTTCTTCCTGTGTTAGCCTCTCAGGTCCTGGGATTACAGACATCTCTTTATGTCTTAGTTTCAAAACTAACCAAGGGATCTGCTGTAATGATTGAGAAGGAGAATAACCTAAAGGGACCAAGAGTAGATTCTACACAATTCAGAACAGCAGACTCACTCAGAGAAAGTAGCTAGTGAGGGAGGCAGAAGCAGAGGTGACCAGCTGAGGTGTCTCATACTGGACACTGTCTGAAGATTTAACATGAGCATGTTACATACCTCCTATATTTTAATTTAGAGCATTACTGAAGTAGCACGGCCTTCCCAGAGCTGTTACCAATAAGGAAATAGAGTTATTAAGAACATTTATAACAAGCTTTTTAAACAGAAAAGCAAGAAGACTAAGAGGCTAAATGAATTCTGTTCCAGGCCCATAATAAAGCAACTTGATTTCCTGCTTCACAGTGTTTCCTATTCCTCATGGCTCTGTCCCAAGTGAAAAACCCCACCTGATGTCCTGGGCCTTGGACATGGACTCTGAGCCATAGGAAGGTTTCCAATTTCCTGCTCTATGCCCCAGACTTAAGTCTCAATTATGTTTTTTTTTCATTGACAAGTCCTAATCTTTTCATAAACAAGATTTCTAATGCTAGAGTGCCTGCCTCTTGAGAACGTGGCAGCATATATTAGCCAAAGGATGTGGCTTAGTTACAAGGGCGGCAGCGCTTTGAGACAGCTATTAATAGAGACAAGCTCTATGAATTGAGTATCTGGGGAGTGCTCCACTTAAAGGAATCATAAAAATAATTTCTCCAGGCCAAGGACAACTGGCTTCAACAATACATTAGTCTAAATGTCTGTGTCCCCACAAAGTCATGCTGAACCCTAATTCCTAATGAATGGAGTCTTTAGGTCATGAGGAGTCCACCTTCCTAAACAGAATTAGTTCCTGCCTTAGGCTATTTTTTTTTCTTTCTATAACTGACTGCATGATGTATTGAGACTGAGAAGTTCAAAACTGGTTGGTCTTGTAGGGTGATGTCCTCCATGCTAGAAGGGGCTCTCTACAGAGTTCCAAAGCTGCCCAGAGCATCACAGGACAAGGCAAATTATCCTTATGCATGCCCTTCATCCTTTAAAAACTTCATATTTGTTGATTTATTGGGTGTATATAAACAGGTGCTTGTGTGGAGGTTAGCGGACAAGTTGTGGGAGTTGGTTTCCTCTCTAACATGTAGGTTTCCAAGACCAAATTCAGATCCTCAGGCTTAGCAGCAAGTGCTGGTGCTGGAGAGTAGATCCAGGTCATGTAGGTGCTGACCTCCTCAGTGGATGAGTTCACAGTTAAGTGGGTTATAAGGCAGTGGGGTTTAGGTGGACCGGTCACTGAGACACACCTTTGAAAGTCATGGCATAGCCCCTTTCTGCGTGTGCTTCCCAGCCACCAAAAAGTGAGCAGCTTTCCTCCACCACACCCCTCTATCAGGAGGCTCTGTCTCGCTGCAGGCCTAGAAACATCGAAGCCTTGCCACTCAGGAGTGAAGTCTCTGATGCTCTGAGCCCAAATAACACATCCCTTGTGGGCCCTGATGTGGCTCAGAGGGAAAAGGCACTTGTTGCTCAAGCCCGATGACATGAGTCTAAACCCACAGAAAAGTGGAAGGAGAGAGCTGATTCCATGAAGTTGTCCTCTGACCTCCACATGTGTACCACAGCACATGTGTGCACCCCCATCACTCACACACACACACACACACACACACACACACACGAGCTTAAAACCTTCCACCCCTAAGTTAATATAATCAAGTGCTTTGCTGTAATGATGGAAGGCTGATGGTCATACACCATGTTAGGAGTTAGGCGGATGACATTTATGAAGCAGAGGATAAGCACTAACTGTTCAATGTGCTGATATATGATCTTGGACATTCCAGTCTCTAGAACCATGAATAATAAATTTCTCTTGTTTGTAAACAACCCATTCTAAAGTGCTTTGTTATAGCAGCCTAAAAAGACTGAGTCAAGAGGGCAATTCTCATAGCAAAAAAAGGCTGATATATACCTATGTGGTTAGTATGTGTACATGTGCAGTCACACTCGCATGAGTGCACAACTATATGCACTACAACCTTCATCAAACATTTCTGTTGATGGGTAACTGAAAATAAGCCCAAGTAAAGACCAGAAAAACCAAGTCATTAATGGCATTTATAGTGATACATTTTTTTTCCTTACAAATAAAGCAACTGGTCATTTTTTCTGACACAAGAAATAGCTCTATCCATTTGCCTCTCCTACAGAATCATCTTGATCTTATTTCCGTATTAGGGTTCTTCTAGTGACTTCTATCTGGAATGGCTTTAGGGTTCCTCTGGTTGCACGTGGCAGGTCTCATTCTCCACATGGATCCCTCACTTCCTCCTTTAGTTGAAGCTTATGTCTTCTCTATTTGATCTGCCACATGGCTTTCAATCTTAAGCCACTTGTTTCCAATTTTTTTTAATTGTTGTTGTTTTTGAGACAGGGTCCCTCTGTGTAGCTTTGGAGCCTTTCCTGGAACTCGCTTTGTAGACCAGGTTAGCCTCGAACTCACAGAGATCCACCTTCCTCTGCCTCCCGAGTGCTGGGATTAAAGACCTTGATAACAATATAAAACAGTCCTTCCTTTTCATGTGTATTTCGACTGGTCTCTGATTCACTCGAAGCCTCTCTAGATCTCCTAATGTTGTCTAACTCCATTCTTTCAAGGGCATAATTCATTGCCACGATTTTAAAATATTTCAAGTAGGCAGCAGTTTGTCTCCAGAAATGTCATGACATTTCCTTTCTTTTTCTTTATATATGTGTATGTATTTTTAGTATTTTGTGTTTTGGGCCCTGTGCTCAGCACTGACTACAATGAATTAGTTAAGTTCAAGTAAGCCGGCTAATGTAAAAGTCAACCACACTAATCTAACAAGGCTGCTCCCGTCTCTAACTATTGGGTCACTTTTGTTTGGGTGGGTCTCTTCAAGCCTTTCTACTCTTGCCTCTTCTTCTCCCTCTTCCTCTTTCCTTCCTTTCCTCCTTTACTCTTCCCTCCCTTTCCTGTCCTCCTCACCTGTCCTCTCCCCTCCCTCCCCCCTCTTTGCCTCCTTCTTTATCCTCTTTACCATCCTTCCTCTCTCCCTCCCTCCTTCCCCTCTCTCCTTCCTTTCTTCCTTTGTCTTTATATCCTTCATTTCTTTTGTCTCCCCTTTCCTATTATTTCCTTTCTCCCCACTCTCCTACTCACTTTTCTCCCCTCTTCCCTCATTCCTCTCCCTTTTCCTTCCCCTTCTTCTCTCTTTCTGACAAGGTTGCCCAGTCTAGCTTAAAATACCTGAGCCTAAGAGATCCTTCTGCTTCTTTATCCCTCAAAGAGCTGGAACTGCTGGTATGCCCCACTCCACCTAGTTCCATACTCTTTCCTATGACTACCTTTTAAACTTTTGATCCTAAACCACCTTCTGTGACCTTCCCTAGGTATGAGTCTAGTTCTCTGAGCTGTCTATCCTGCTCAATTCTCTGAAATAACCCCACAAAACCCAATTCTACTGCAAATATTTGTCAGAACTTTTTAACAAGAAGTATTTCTTAATGAGTCTGTGAAAGAGCAAACATTATAAAAAAAAGATTCTGAGACCCTTGTCTCTGCCCTTTTTCCATAGAGGACTATAGCATCTCATTTCCCTGGATGTAGAAAAAGAATCCAAGTCAGTGATGGTTTTCACAAAGATTTTTTTGTATAACGTTTCTGGTTTACATATAAATTTATTCCAATAAGTGTACCAAGGCTATGCTTTTCCTGAAATCCCGTGTTGGGGGTGTACCACTTATGGAGATGCTGTGACACTAGGTGGACACATGGAATAGGTGGCACAAGCTCCAATCCCATCTTTCAGATCCCAAATCTATTTAACATATTGTCCTCAGATAGAAGATGTATCCGATATTAAGCTGATAAAAATAGATACATATTTGATCTTAGCCAAATGGTCAAGAATTGATCCAAAGCACTGCGTTGTAACCAAACATATCAACATTAGCCTCAAATCTTACTCCTCGCACGCTAAAAACCCTGAGATTCCAGGATGGACCCGTCTGGGTTTACCTCACTGAGCCATCAATGGAGGCGGTAAGCACCAGCTGCTTGTCTTCCACATAGATCACTTGAATAATTTCTAAAGAGTGGGCACGCCAGGAAAGCAGCTGCTTGAATTTCTAGATGGCAACAAGAAGACATATCTCTTGGAATGAATCAAAATACAATCTTAAGCAAAATCATTTCTCATTGAAGAGCTACATTTATGAGTGAGTGTGATAGATGGTGATTGAGTCTCTACTCTGATTAGTTTTTCTCTTGCTTACCGAGGTACCAAAACCACTCCAATTTTAGAGGATTATTACTCTGCACATACCCCTGCTGGAGAAGGAAGCTCATATTTTTATTAGTTTGTCGTGGACTTTAGCAAATGGTTGATAGTTGTGGGAGACATGCTGAAGGACCATTAGGAGAGAGGGAGAGCAGATCCGGAAGGTGAAGGCCAAGAGACGTTTTTTACTTATACATTTTATCTAGAGAAAGCATTGACTACATTCTTCTTTGCATGGGGTATGGAGTAAGAGGCATCTGCTGTAAGGAACTGGCAGAAAGGATAGGCATAGCTTATTCTCTTTCAAAAGCAGTGTGAGGGTCAACTGATAGACCTAAAGAAGGTCTATCTTTAACATTTGTTCTCAAGTTTAGAGTCCCTAAGGTGCTTCAGAAGACATTCCTACAGATTGCTCTGCAGTAACACACTCTGTATGTTTCTCTCTGCTCATCGATGGGCACACTTAGGCCACATTTTCCCTGGGCCATGTACTCAGAGTTATCTGTGTGACCAAAGTCCTAGGGGGCTTGCATTTCCCCTGTGCATCTCCTATTCCTTGAGACTTTAGCAGGGGTGAGAATAATTTCTTAGACTGTTGACTCAGTTTCCTGTATCTGTTCTTAAAAAGACTTGCTAAAAGTCTGCGCTCTCCTACTTCATATTATTTCAGAGCTGTTCAAGAGCTTTTGGTCATCCAAAGGTTTTTCTCTGTCTTAAGACAGCATCCACCCAAGCAAAGACTGGGGTCATATAGCTTAAATTACAGTAGAATATGTACCTGGAGTGTAGGGGGGCACTTGCATTTCCATCATTTGTGTGTGCGCTTTAGGAAAATGCTCAACAAACATGAGCTGATTTCTTTATTTAAGTGGAAATCTAAAATTCATACCTTTTCATCATGAGGTGCATCCAAAAAGGAACTAATACTGCAAAGGATAACGTGTCCTTCTGTATAAAATTTAAACATTAGAGTCCTTAATTAGATATTATATTCTTTAGGAAAACAGTCCCCAGCATGACAAGTCATTTTGATTCAGGCACTATATTGGTAGACAGAATAGAATCTGAGAAACTAGCTATAAAAGAGGAAATTTGGAGTTCTGGCATATAGCTTGGTAGAGGGCTTGCCTAGCATGGAGAAATCCTGTGTTTGATCCCCAGCACTGCATAAAACTGGGTGTGGTGGTACATCCAATGTAACCTTAGTTCTCAGGAGGTAGAGGCACAATGTCCAGAAGTACCAGGTTGTGGTGGTATTGTGTTCCCCAAAATATTGTGCACCCTAATAAACTTATCTGGGGTCAGAGAACAGAACAGCCACTAGATTCAGAGGCTAGAAAATGGTGGCACTCACTCTTTTAATCCTAGCATTCCAGAGGCAGAGATCCACCTGGATCTCTGTGAGTTTAAAGCCATACTGGAAAAAGTCAGGCATGGTAACTCACACCTTTAATCCCATGAAGTGAGCCTTTAATTCCAGGTAGTGAGGGCAGAAAGCAGAAAGGTATATAAAGCGTGAGGACCAGGAACTACAGACTGGTTAAGCTTTCAGGCTTTTGAGAAGCAGTTCAGCTGAGATCCATTTGGATAAGGACACAGAGGCTTCCAGTCTGAGGAAGAGGGATCAGCTGAGAAATTAGCAAGGTGAGGTGGCTGTGGCTTGTTCTGCTTCTCTGATCTTCCAGCATTCACCCCAATACCTGGTTGGGTTTGATTTTATTAACAAGACCTTCTAACAATTCAACCAGGTCATCCTTGGCTATATAGTAACTTTGAGGCCAACCTGGGCTACATGAAATCCTATTTCAAATTAAAAAAAGAAAGAATGAATAGCAATACTAGCCCAGATTGTTCCATAAAAGAAGGGGAAGGAACACTTCAAGCTCTTTTTTTTTTTTTTTTTTTTTTTTTTTTTTTTTTTTTTTTTTGGTTTTTCGAGACAGGGTTTCTCTGTGTAGCTTTGCGCCTTTTCCTGGAACTCACTTGGTAGCCCAGGCTGGCCTCGAACTCACAGAGATCCGCCTGGCTCTGCCTCCCGAGTGCTGGGATTAAAGGCGTGCGCCACCACCGCCCGGCCCTCAAGCTCTTTTTAATGAGCCACAATTACCTTGATACCAAACCAGATAAAAATCCAACAAAAAAAGAGGATTATAGGCCAATTTCCTTGATGAACATTAGAAGAAAAAAATTCTTGAAAAGAAAAACTTGCAAACTGAATTCAAGAGCACATCCATAATACCATTAATATGATCAAGTTGGCTTCATTCCAGAGATACATTGATGGTTCAATGGGAGTAAGCCAATGAACAAAATTGGACTACATAATGGACTCAAGGACAGAAATCATATGATTATTTCAATTGATACAGAAAAGGCCTTTGGGAAAAATACAGCATTCCTTTAAGATAAAATCCCTGGAGAGACTTGGGATGGAGAACATGTCTCAACATAATAAAAGCTAACACATAAAAAAAATCAATACCACCATGATGTTAAATGAAGAAAAACTCAAAGCATTCCCACAAAGATCGAGAAGACAAGGGTGTCCACTTTAAGTATTTCTATCCAATATAGTGCTTGAAGTCCTAGCTAAAGCAATAAGACAAGAGATGAAAATCAAAGGGCTATGAATAGCAAAATAAGTAGACTTATTCCTATTTATAGATGGTATGATATTTTATAAAAGAGATCCCCAAATTCCATCAGAAAATTTCTAGAATTTCAGAAGAAGAAATTATCTGTAGGCTGGCCATGGTGGCACACACCTATATTCCCAGCACTCAAAAGGCAGAGGCAGGCTAATTTCTATGAATTCAAGGGTAACCAGATCTACATAGCCAGTTCTAAGACAACCAATGCTACATAGAAAGACCCTGTCTCAAAGAAGCAAACAAAAAATAAATTTATTTGGCCCAGATCCTGTGGGTGGGGGATAGAGCCTTGGACCCTGCCCTGAAATAGGAGTATGCAGCCATTTGGCATTAGCTGATACCCTGGAACATGCCAGGCACCAGTCTGTAGCAGTGTCCAATCTCATGATCCTGGAGCCTCAGCCACCAGGAGACCCAGCAGAGTCTTAGTGTCTAAGGCAAGTCCTGAGGATGTCTAAAAGAACAACATCTTGATGGCTCAGAGGTTAAGAGCACTGACTGCTTTTCCAGAGGTCCTGAGTTCAATTCCCAGCACCCACATGGTGGCTCACAACCATCTGTAATGAGATCTGGCACCCTCTTCTGTATACATAATAAATAATAATAAAAAAAAAAGAGCAACATCTTTGTAAGACGAAAGAAAAATTCATGGGTGATTTCACTTGTATTCAAATGTCATCCATACAAAGAACTACCTAGATAAGGACTCCGAATCCAGGCCCTGGAGAACCCGTAAGGAGGACACATGCCACAAGCGGAAAAGCTGGCAGACGGCCATGCTGCTTGGTATTCTTGAATCTCAAACTTTCTCACTTTGAGCATACCTCTTGGAGACTTTCATTTGTCCCCGTAAATTTCATGGTTTCTTGGAGCCATTTTTATATCACATAGATTGTTAAGATGCAGCTTGATCTGCCAGAACAAGGACTTACCCACATTCCCGGCCAGCAGTGTCCTGCAGCACGAATCAGTGTATAGTGACGTCAGGGAAATGGCTGAGTGCTTTGTGAAGGGCAGTATGTCTTTCAGAAGCTTCCCCTGAACAAAGGACAAGGCAAACAACATGTCTTCCATTATAATAAATTCTATAAAACCTCAATATTAAAGTTAAACTTCACTCTACCCAAGACATCTCAATTTTTAGCTCTACTACTTAACAGGATTTTCTATTCCATACTGAAAATAACTTGATGCTATCCACGAGGACTTATTACTTTGAAATGAATAGTATGGATAACTCAAAGTATGGGTGACTATCCGCTGATGGTTAATTTCCTCTTTCTTTGGTGTTATCCATGGGTCTTTTCACACACTTCCTTGCAGGAGATTTCAACTATATGGTCTCCCCTTACACAGGCATTCCCATTAGGGCCAAATATAACTCCATGGTTACAAGGCATATTTCAACAGGCATACTTACATGCCAGGAAAACATATTTCTGATTATTAATAATGGATTGCAAGAGATTCAAGCCCAGATAAACTGTTTTGAAGTGGTATAAGCTAGCCCTTGGAAGGACTTCCATATATATTTATCTCTCTGGAGACTGAGAATAGAATTTGAGTCAGCAGCTGTTTTCACAGACTTTCTTTGGATATCGTCTGTTGTTTCTTATTCATCACAGAAAAAAGGCATTTTATTCCAAGATCATCTTGGAGGCAGTTTGTGTTTTCAAGATGGGAGTTTCACTAGGAAGCCAGAACCCGTGGGCAGACTGGGACTGAGCTGGCAGACAGCCTTGCTGCTCTGTGTTCTCAGATCTCAGTGTGGGTCACACAACACTGTTGCCATCTCCTGGGTTCTCCATAGGAGAAGCCTTATCACAGCACTCACACCTTCTTGTGTCTCTAAGAGTTTCAGAGTCACAATGGGCAGTCTACTCACAACTCTTTCATCCTCTTCTGTTCTCCTCTCCTACTTTGAATTTTTTAAAAAATAAAATTATTAATGTGTGTGTGTTGCGCACGCGCGTGTGTGTTACATGTGTGTTTTGCAAGTGTGTGTGTTGTATGTGTGTGTGTTGGGGTGTGTGTGTGTGTTGCATGTGTATGTGTGTTGGGGTGCATGTGTGTGTGTTGGGGTACGTGTGTGTGTTGGGGTGCATGTGTGTGTTGCATGTGTGTGTTGGGGTACATGTGTGTTGCATGTGTGTGTGCTGGGGTGCATGTGTGTGTTGGGGTGCATGTGTGTATGTTAGGGTACAGGTGTGGAGGTCAGAGGACAATTTATGGAGCTGGCTCTCTTCTTCCACCTACACATGGGATTCCTGGGATTGAACTCGGGTTTTGGGGCTTGTGTGCCAACTGATTTTTACCCACTGAGTCATCTTGTGTTCCTTAATTTGTACTTTTAATTTGGGATGCCCACCCTCCATCAAAAATCACTTGAAATCTCCTGGTAAATTAAAGCTGCTCTTTTCATGGTAAAAAAATTTTAAGAACACTCAAAGTGATGCAATACCATCTTTTAATAATTTATATCATTAAAGTTTTATATTAGGGCTCTGCCAGTAAAGGAGCTTGCTGCCAAGCCTGGCAACCTAAATTTGATCCCTAGGACCTACATGTTAGCAAAAGTGACTCTCACAAGTTTCCTTCTGACTTTTTCATTACTGCTATGGCATGCTTGCACCTACACGCACACACAGACATACATAAACATACAGACACACAGATAAAGATAACGAAAAAGTATCTTATAGGCTATGTGTCAGCATTCTTATAGTCTGTTTTATGGCATGAAAATATGAGTGTGTGTTTGTGTGTGTGTGTGTGTGTGTGTGTGTGTGTGTGTGTGTGTATGTATGTGTGTGTGTGTGTATGTGTGTGTAGGCCAGGGAACAACCCTGGATGTCACTCCTCAGGAACACCATTCCCCTTATTTTGGGACAAGATCTCCCCCTGGCTCGTAGCTTGCCAGCTAGGCTAGGATGGCTGGCCAGCAAGCTCCAGGCATCTGCTGATCCTTCCTCCCCAGCACTGGATTTATAAGAGTGCTCTACCATGCTCAGATTTTTAATGTGGATTCTAGGCATTGAACTCGGGTCTTCAGTCCTTTATTGACTAAGACCCTTACATCCTTTTATAGAATGCATTACTGATGACATTCATTTAAATATCCAATAGAATATTACCATGAATTTACAGCTCAGCTTAAAAGATTTGAAACTCTTAACAGTTTTGATGAACTAATGCCTTGAGTAGTAGAACCAGCCTAGTGTATAGTTTGGCAGTAGTCAGTGATGGAACTGAAAGACCATCTGTTTGGCTAGAATAGTGGAATGTTTGAACTGGATGCCATGTGGAAGAAGGCTGCAAGGCACAACTATCCTCTTTATCATCCCATTCCTTTTGAGTACCAGCCAAGCCCAAACTTCATCACCTCCAACGTCCACAAGCGGAGATGTCCATCCTCGTGTGCAGTGACCAGGATAGGAGGCTGTGTTTCCATGGAGCTAGTGGGGGTGGGCTGTTTTCTGCTCACTGGCTGCTGCTCTCCCACCATGTCTGTTTGCTCACCTGGTAGAGAAACTCATAAGCTCTGCTGGTATTTGTAATCCTTGGGGTTTCAAATTTAATGGAACACCAAAGAAGAGATGGGTGGGAAGAGAAATACAGGATTGTCTCAATTTTTTTTCCTTTAGAGAATTCACAGGGAAGGAAATAGAAAGGCCTTTGTAGAATGGAATCCTGGATCACTGGAAAAAATCTAAAAGGCTTATTTGGGCTCCTAATGTAAAAGCCTCTAGAAGATTCTGCATGTGGTGGCTTTAGCCTTGTGAAAGTTTTAAAACATCTAGGATGTTTTATAAGTCTAGCATAAGTTTTAGCAAAATGCATTGGAGACTAAAAAGTTCAGTCATACTTTGGATTTTAAACATCTAGAATTAGCATAAAAAGTATCATTTGTTTTTGTTCATATTGAGAATGTTTCTGGACACACTATCCTTTTAAAATTAGCATATATTAACTATCAATAATAACAGGTTTTATTATGACAATATCACTCATGTATAGCATATATATTAGTCATATTTACTCTGTATTACTTTTCTCATTCCCTCTCACTCCCGTTGAGCCCTTTAAAAGGCATTATTTTAATATTCTTCCCATTAGTCCAACCTTAGGGAGTCACATTTCAGATATCTTGCCTATCAGATATTTACATTATGATTCATAACAGTAGCAAAATTACAGTTATGAAATAGTAACAAAATAATTTTACGGGTGGGGGTCATCACACCATGAGGAACTGTATTAAAGGGTCACAGCATTACACTACCTAGACCCCCAAATACTTCAATACTCAGTTACAGAAAGAGTACATCAGGAATATCCTGTCGCACAAAGTTACTGTCGCAAAGGAGCAAAGGAGCTAAGGAGCTGGTCTGGGCTGTAGCTCCATGGTAGAGTGCTTGCCCAGCATGTGTGAGGTCCCAGGCTTGGTCCCCAGTGTCATAAAGGCAAGAAAAAAAAAAAAGACTCAGCTGCTTGGTTCTAAAGAAGAGCGCTGATACTGACCTTTGACCTCCGTGTCATGTATACTCTGTTTACTTCCCTGAATGGAGAAGAGAGAGAAAACGTTTCTGTGACATGACAAGGGGATGAGACCTAGTAGATGGGCAGCTTTTGCAGAGCTGCATTGACATGCCTAAGTACTAATGTTAATGTATTGCAGACATCTTCATTGTCATAAATAGAAGAGCTAGAAAACAATGGCAGTCCCTGGTGGCTTGTACTAGTGACAGTGATTTGGCCCCCGGTACACGCCCAGTTCTTGGTGTGCATTGGCTCTGATTCTATGGACAGCCACACCAGGTGTCTTTATTCTCCCAGTCTTACCCGTAAGGAAACAGAACCTCGGCCTTAGTGACAAGGCTAGAAGTCGGACAGTGTACAGAGGGCTTGGATTGAAGCGTGGCTCTGCTGGCTTTTCTATCCACGCATGTTTTCTTTCTACCACACTAGTTCTTTCAAAATACCTCTCATGTGAATGAATACCTCTTGACTTAGTAAAATCCTGATTAGAAAAGCACTCTGCAAAAATATGTACAATCAGAACTGAGAAGACAGCAGACCACACTGCATTATATTATGGGCTGTGGTCTGATTGCACCACATGTGAAATATGATAATAGAGAAGAGAAGCTCAGCATCATTGGGTTATCTTACAAGCATAAAAACAATAGGTGTAACTTATTAATACACTTATTTATTAATGATCATGTATAGGTTGGTCACACATGTGAAGACCTTGAAAATAAATGAAGAAAAACAATGTAGTTGTTGATTTTGAGGGAAAACAAATATGTTGCATGTTCATATAGATGTACATACGTCATAGATGTACACACAAGGGCCGAGAGCCACTGTTTCTGAGCCTCTGCTTGTAACAGGAAGATGCCATCTCTACTTTGCACTCACCTTGCTGCTCTGCGGACCTTTGCTTGAGTCACACTGGGTTGACGAGCAGATGGAATCCTGACTTGATCTCCTGTTCAGGGATGGAGGAGACACAGGCTGGAAGATTCAGACAGTCCACAGAACTCAGTGTGCTCTGTTTCAGTTTCAGGTGGTTATTTCCTCCTCATCCCTGGGACTATCTCACCCACTCATGAGGTGAGCTACACCTCACATCCAGTGTAATGAATGCTCACTAGTATGGTGTTACAGAGAATGCTGGGGAGCTTCAGCATTGAAGGGGTATCGCTGTTGCCTGGGTCTAGGAAACACAAGCCTGGCCTGGCTCAGTGTTAACACTAGATTGAACTATAGTTTTGATATAATTATAAGACAATGTATAGGGAAGGTGCTGGATTCTGACTCACCAAAGAGTGAACCCTAATTATAGCACAGAAACATTTCATTTCCCTCTAGAGATTTGTTTAGCATTGTTGCTTAAAACTACAGACTCCTAAAGCAAATGTAAGTAGAAAATAGGAAAAAATACTTCTTATTAGAAATTTAACAAACAACCCTCTGCTCTTGAAGGAATGAATGGAGGTTGCCCAGTTACACTGGATAGTATATGAAATTTCCAATGCCTTTTCCAGCTGTTCCCTCCAAGACCTAAACTGGCTGCACATTTTTGGTGACTGTATTAGGTTTAGCCAAAAGTAAGTGCCAATGAGCATTTCCCATTTCTACTTCTGTGGTAAAGGCACATGTGAGGGTGACATGCTAAGGGTCTACACTATGAAGAGACATGGTAAGGGTCTACTCAGTGAGGTAACAAGGTAAGGGTCTACACAGTGAGGGGGCATGGTAAGGATCTACACAGTGAGGCTGACATGGTAAGGGTCTACACAGTGAGGGGACATGGTAAGGGTCTACACAGTGAGGGGACATGGTAAGGGTCTACACAGTGAGGTGACATGGTAAGGGTATACACAGTGAGGGGACATGGTAAGGGTCTACACAGTGAGGTAACATGGTAAGGGTGTACACAGTGAGGAGACATGGTAAGGGTCTACACAGTAAGGCTGACATGGCAAGGGTCTACACAGTGAGGGGACATGGTAAGGGTCTACACAGTGAGGTGACATGGTAAGGGTCTACACAGTGAGGTGACATGGTAAGGGTATACACAATGAGGGGACATGGTAAGGGTCTACACAATGAAGGGACAGGATAAGGGTCTACACAGTGAGGGGACATAGTAAGGGTCCACACAATGAGGGGACATGGTAAGGGTCCACACAATGAAGGGACATGGTAAGGGTCTACCCACCAATATGTCACAATACTGTGACAGTGAGGAATGTTGAAACAAAGGAGTCAGCTCAACACACATTTTCCTTCAGTTGTCCTTTCTTTGATGCTGGCATGTGGGTAGCTCACATCACCTACCTGGGTTTCAGATAACCCTACTGGACCATGAAGCTCTGAGTTACCTTACACAGTCAGGAGGTCGGAAAAGGAACATTATGTCATTAATCCGAAAGCGTTTGGGGTCCAAGTCAGGGTCTGTAGAGAAGCAGTCCTCAGGCCGATATCTGAAAACAAGCATGTCCTTGCCTAGTAAATGGCATGAACTATGAAACTCGCCTCACATTGCATAATTTCCATGCATATCTAGCTACTTGAAATGTTATCATTGCACATGAAGTGAAAGTCCAAATATGCCTTGTTATCAAGGCTTTGTGGAACCACATGATCATCAGATGATCTATAAGTATTTAATCCAATTAACTGGACAGATTTCCTACCTATAGGTCACAGTGTCTCATCCTGTAGAGGGACTATCTGGAAGTATCATACAGTTTAAATAGCAGAATTCTACTCTGAACATATGGAAGGATAGATTTGAGTGAAATGTGGTGCCTTACCCCAGGATCTTAAAACTGAGTGGACAAGAGCAGATAATCCAGAGATTACCCTGCTCCCGCTGCTCTAGTTTTCCATGGACCCAGATCCCATGGGACTTTCCAGGTAGTGTCTTGAGACCAGAACAATAGTCTCTCAATACCAACACTATACTCTGTGCTATATCTCTTAACTATCACTTTGCATCCCTTAGGGCAAACTGACCTCTTAGCAACATGCCCCTTTCCTTTAAGGGAAATGACACCTGCTAATTTGAGCTGATGAGTGATTGCTAAAATGTGGATCTGAAACATCCTCCAAGGATCTATATTTTAAAAACTTGCTTCCCAGATCGGTGCCCTTGGGAGGTGTTGAGCTTTTAAGGGTGGGGTGCAGTGGGAAGTTTTTTTAGTTCTTTGGAAAGCAGATCCTTGAGAGAGATCAGGCACCCTCTTCCTTTTTTTTTTTTTTTTTTTTTTTTTTTTTTTAACTTTCTCACTATGAGAAGCTCTATCATTCATTACTACTCTGATGTGATGACTTCTCACAGGCCCAAAGCAACAGGGTCAGTAGATCACTTGAACCTCTGAAGTCATGAGCCCAAACAAATCTTTGTTCTTATTATCTTAGGGATTTTTTACAGTAGCAGGAAGGAGACTAACACTATGGTGCAGGAGTCTTGTACGGATGGGGCCAAGACCAAACAAGAAGCTTGTAAATTTGATGCTGACTTTTTTATGCTCAACCGTTTTAAATATATTTGATCATCAATCAATTATGAAACAGATTATTAATTAGCAAGAAACATTATTAAATTTGAACCACCAAATCATGGTGTTCTCGAGAGAGAATGGTTCTTTCTCTTTGACTGGGGAAGGAGTCAGACAAAATGAGGTATATTAAGAAATGGCAGGTTGGAGAGATGGCTCAATGGTTAAGAGTACTAATGGACCTGGGATCACTTCCCAGCACACACACATAGCAGCTCACAACTGTCTGTAACTCTAGTTCCAGGGGATCTGACACCCTCTTCTGGCCTCTCTAGATACTAGACATGCAGGTGGTGCACAGATATACATGCAGACAAAGCACCTATACATATAAAGTTAACTAATAAATAAAATAGTGGAAATGGCCTCCACCACAAATATAGGAATAATTTTTAGTTTTATAACTGGTAAAGCTAGGAATATATTACCTTACACAGTTTTGGGATGTTGTGTCTTTCTTTTCCAAAAGACTCCAGTGATCCTAAATATGTGTGTATATAGATGTGTAGTGGCCAAAGAACAAGCTCTGTGTTTCTCCCCGGTACAGGACCTATTGTTTTTGAGAGAGGATCTCTCACTGACCTAGGACTTGCCGAGTAGGCTTGGCTGGCTGGTTGCCAGCAAGCTCCAGGGATCCACCTGTCTCTACTTCTGCAGTGCTGAAGTTATAAATATGTGTCACGACACCTGGCTTTTTATACTTAGTTTCAGGGATCAAACTCAGGTCCTTGTGTTTGCAGTTAAGTCCTGTTCTCACTGAATTATCTCCCAGGACCCTACTGTTTTAAAATAATCATCTGCCTATGGAAAACGGACATGATACATAATCCACCAGAGTTGCTTTCTTTTATTGAGTACTAGCTTTGCATGCATCCCTTGGCAAAATGTCTAGTTCTTAAGTAAGAAGGATTGCTACCTTGAAATTGGAAATAGCTCAGGACAGCTGCCCCCTCCTTTCACGGTGGCATCACCACTGATCTTTTTCATCTGTCTTCTTTTCCTTCTCAGTAGTGAGCCAGACAGAAACTGACACCTTTTGGTGTGAAAACTGTTAATAAGAATGTGAGGAGCTGCCCAGTGTGTGCAGACATAGGTATCAAATGACAAGTACACAGTGCAGAAGAGAAGCCCAAGGGCAGGCACTGAGTGTTAGGATGGAGCCAACCTTTGATGAAAAGGGGTGTGCTCCAGGTAGACCAGTAGTATATGTCCTCTGACTAGAGGTAGAGATTCCTTATGTGCTTTCCTCTTTTTCCACCCTACTCCCCTTTTCTCCAAGATAGACTTGATTTTATTTTGGTTTATTAGGATTGTTGTCCATTTTGTATCTGCAATTAATTTTACAAGCCCCCTTGACAGAGGGTGTCCCTACAAGGTCCCAGTACACACCTCCAAGAACATAAGTCAAGACAGTCTATTATTTACAGTTCATACATATATACAGATAACACATTATGCTAGTTACTTTAAATAAATGGCAAGAACACTTAGAGACAGTAAATTGGGGAGAGTAAATGCTCCAGTCATGATTCAGAACATCTTAACAGAACTGACTGAGATCCGGGATGCACCTGCGACATTGGTCCTTGCTAGAGTCATCATGTAATAAATTGAATACTCTGATGTGAATGAGAAAGAAAAGCCTTCTAGAATGCCTATCTATCATCGTTTGTCTTTGGTAAGTGAGTAGATGTTGGTGGCAGTAGGAATAGAGAGGGAGGAGAAGTTTGATGGAGGGGCAGGTCAGGAATTGTGCAGCTTGATGTGAGTGGGGAGTGATCGGACGGGAAGTGCTAGGAAATGATTGGATATGTGTACTTGAAAGCTTGTGGATATTAGTGTGTCAAGTTATTACACATTTCAAATATTTGTTGGGAATAGAGAGATTGCTCAGTGGTTGAGAATACTGGCTGTTCTTCTAGAAGACCCCGGTTTGATTCCTAGTATCCACAGCCTGACTCACAACTGTTAATGCCAGCATCAAAGTGTTCAGTGTCTTCTTCTGGTCTCTGCCAGGTACCAGGCAAAACACCCACATACACAGGTAAATAAAATAAAAAATTAAATTTAAACCCATTTGTTGAAGGAATAAATTTAAACATGGAAGGACCATATATTTATGTAAAGGAGAAATCTTTCGGATATATGCATATTTAAGGTTTTTGTGTAATTATGGAATTTAGACTCTCAGCACATAGTGTACTTATGAAGATAACCTCCAAGAAAATCCTTCCTTGAAGGTATTACTTGATATTTAGATGCTTATGCAGTTAAACTCCTATTATTTAGGGCAAAGATAACACTTACATTTCTTTAACAGAAGCTGTTATAAAGTTCCATAAGATAATCATGCCATTTAAGGTTCCACATGCTATCAAATTATATCCCTCTGTTTGAAACAAATCAATGCAGTTGACCTCAACATCGACAGCAGGATTCTAAAAACAAGGACACAGATGTAGACTGGTGGGAATGCAAAGTCAGCCTAATTAAAATGTTATACATGCACAGTGTAATTGTAATTAACTTAAAGCAGTGTCATAGTACGTTCAAAGTCATTGAGCAAGAAATTTATTACCACCTCCCCCCCAACTGCCTTTAGCATTAGAAAATTTAGCTTGGGTAATTCACTGAAACAACAAAAACATTCTCTTTTCTTCTGGCCCCTTTTGGTTTAGCTTTGACTTACTCTGCTTTACCAACCATTAGACTATTTCTATTTTTTAAAAAATCTTCCCTTCAGTCTTCTTTGAAAAAAAAAAACAAAAAACAAAAACAGTGCACATTAGCTATTCCCACTGACATTCTAGTCTTTCACTTGGCTAGTCTACCTGTCCAGTTTCTGATGCACAGAACTATATAGAAGTTTTTTCTATGTATTGTTACATGTGCTTCTTTGCAGTTATCCTGCCTCCGATATTTGTTGAGCATCTTAGGTTCTTAGAATACAGAATTAAAGATGGTGTCTGTGATCTGAGATATGCATGAGAATTTAAAGTACCTAGATGATGTGTTAATTTCTGAGCAATCTCAAAATACTGTATTGGGGACATGTGTAAGACTTGTGTAGCAAACACTTTATCCATGTAGTCATTTCTCCAGCCCCACTTCTGTACTTCACTAATTTATCATCTGATTTAAAGTGATAATTTTTCAATTCTTTGTCACGTGTGCAATTACTTGGCAAGTGCCTTGGTGCCAACTCACTGTGCACTCACCTTTCTGCTGTTATTGACTATATACAATATTTCAGATACAGTGTATACATATGTCCAAACCTAGTTCCAATGACAAATAGAGTTGGAAGAGGTAGGCTAGACTCCATCTCTGAAGTGTTAGGAATTGTATGTATTAATTTCAAAGCTCTTTAATCTAACAATGAAACCTTTTTTTTTTTTATTGAAACTACCAATGCAATTCAAGTTCAGTCGGTGCTATGGTGACATTTGCTTCAATATGAGATAAACAATATCTTTTCTATATTAAAATGATCCAATAGACCGTTTTCAAATTCTATAAGACAAGCCTTGTCATTTTCTTGTGAGTTACATTACAGTTATATCACTGGTCCTTCTATAACCTGCAGTCCTCTTGAAGGCTTTGGTATCTGACCATTTTGTCCCTGAAAAAGCAGAGAAGCTGGGGTACTTCAAGCTAATATTAAAGTATATTAATAAAGTTAATGAAGACACATTTGAAACAATCAAAAGGCCTAAATATTTTTAAGGACAAGCAACAAACAAGCAAACAGCAAACAAATGATGTCTTCCTTATTTCCCTGTCCTAACTCTCAACCAAACACCTTGGTACTTCATCCTCAGATATATGTGCTTGCAAGCATGTCACAGAAATAACTTTCTGAAGACAATTTCTATTAACATGTCTATTTTAATATGTATAGATACTTCTAAAATATTTGGAAAGGTCTCTGAGCCCTAGTGGTTATGCATGTTTTGGTGGTCAAACACATTTCAAGCACCCTGAGACAATTCTGCGGTAGTAAAGGGATGTGGGGCTGACATGTATCATGACATGGTCATATCTCAGAAACATTGGGCTAAATGAGGGCAACAACATACATACATAATGGGAGCCACTGTTGTCGCATGTGGACAACAAATTTATGCGGAAGAGAATCAGGTAAGTGTTGACATGGCAGGTGCCTGGGGTGATGGTCATAGTCTCTGTCTTGACAGAGATTTGGGTTGTACAAAGTTCTCATCAAGCTCATTGAATGCTACAATTGTATCTTGCTAGTTTTCCTTTCTAATCCTCAATAATTCCACTAAAAACAACTCTGTAAAGTAGCAGTGGACTCCAGTTACTGATTCATATACTGAAGCATTCAAGGCAGCATCTATTTACAGCTTCTACTTCTTCTGAAATATACTCTGAAATACATTTTTTGAATAAGGTGAACTTGAGGGTGGGTAGAGGATAGATCCACAAATAGATCCATAATAAAGTAAACATTGAAAAATAGTAATTACATTTAAGGGGAGACATTTATATGTGTTTATAATTTTTTCAAATATTTTATAATAAACTATTAATGAAGAGAATACCAGACTTGTCTCAAACTCCTGACCCTGATGTCTCAGCTTGAATGCCAGGATTACAAACTGCCATTCAGAGACTGACTGCACTGAGACCTCTGAAATCCCTCATTAGCTACCAGCCCATCAGGATCAGGAGAGATCTCCCCTTGCTAGTTACTAACTGGTCAGGATTGGGAGAGACCTCTATTTTCCTGTGTTGTGGGAAATGAGGGTGCCTCCTCCTTTCAGGCTGCTTACAATTTTGGAATTTAGAGACTATCCTGAAAGAAAAAAGTCCGACAATGTCTGCTCCTTGTTTGTATTTTAGAACAACAAGGTAACGGTAACAGGTACATTCATGATTAACCAAATGGTGCTTCCCAAGCAAGGTGAGAAGCAAAGCTCCAAACCTACAAAAAGAAAAGATGCAGTTTGGTGAACTGACTTTGAAAAACCTAGTTAAAAGTGTATGACAGAGATGGGCATGGTGGACTGTGTCTGTGATTGAGCTCTAGGTAGATCAAGGGAGGAAGACCAGTTTGAGATGTACAATGAAACATTTTCTTAAAACAAACAGATGAAAACCAAAGCAAAGCCAACCCCCCCCCACACACCCCAATCCAAAAAACAACCAAAAAGGTCTATAATGATACATTAACTGGGCAGAAAAAGTGAATCATTCTAATATCATTTACACATACATGTTCTTAATATATGGGAAATATTCAATGTAAAAAGGGAATGACAACAGGTTGTATCAAAAAATAGACAGAGGATATAACAAATGCCCCTTGAATGAACAGAGGATAAAACAAATGCTCATTGAATGAACAGGGGATATAACAAATGTTCAATGAATAAGCAGAGGATATAACAAGTACCTCATGAATGAACAGAGGATAGAGCAAATACCCCATGAATAAACAGGAAAGTAAACTCACAGTTTACCAAAAATGCCACTAAAATATGCCAAATTAAATATTTTTTCATATAAATTGTTTTTTAATGCTTGGTAAGACTGTGGGGAAATATGCACTCTCTTATGTAGTAGTGAAAATGCAAAATTATATAATTGCCATGTAGGAGATTTGTCAATATATAGGAAAACTTCACAGGATTTGTTTTCCTCTACCAGTTTCATAATTTCTTATTTTATATTCAATCTTTTGATCCATATTTCATTTGATTTTTTTTGCAAGGTGAGAGATATGGATCTAATTTCATTCTTCTGCATGTAGCTATTCAGTTTCCCAGTACAATTTGTTGAACAGGCTGGCTTTTCCCCAATATGTGTTTTTGGCACCTTTGTAAAAAAAATTGGGTAAGTATAGCTGCATAGATCTCTGGGTCCTAAGACCATTGGTCTACATGTTTTATGCTAGTTCCATTCCCTTCTTGATACTATGGCATGGTAGTGTTGTAGAATATTATTTTAAAATGTGTTACATTTGTGTATGCTGTGGAACATTTGTTTAATGATGCAAAGATGTGTTGCATTCTTTTATGTTGCATTTGTTTAACTCTGTGAAGCTGTGTTACTTTGCCTGTCCAAAACACCTGATGGACTAATAAAGAGCTGAATGGCCAATAGCGAGGCAGTAGAAAGGATAGCCGGGGCTGCTAGGCAGAGAGAATACATAGAGAAATCTGGGAGAAAGGGAGAAAGAGCAAGGAACAAGAGAGGAATGAGGAGGACTTCAGGGACCAGCTACCCAGCCACCCAGCCAGACATGGAGTAAGAAGTGAAAAAAAAGATATACAGGAATAGAGAAAGAGAAAAGATCTGAAGCCAAAGATAGACAAGATAATTTAAAGTTAAAAAAAGCTAGTAAGAAACAAGCCAAGCTAAGGCCAGGCATTCATACATAAGAATACGTCTCTGTGTGTATTTATTTGGGAGCTGGGTGGTATGCCCCCCAAAGAGCCAAAAAAACCCAAAAGCAAACAACAACATTGTAGTATAATTTGAGATCAAGTGTTTGATGCTTCCAGTACTGCTCTTTCTGCTTAGCATTGTTTTGGCTGTTTGGGAATCCACGGTGGTTTGAAAGAAAATAGCCCCCAAAGGGAGTGGCACTGTTAGGAGGTGTGGCCTTGTTGGAGTAGGTGTGGTCTCACTGGAGGAAGTGAGGAACTGTGGAGGCAGGCTTTGAGGTGTCATATATGCTCAAGGCTCACCCAGTATCTCAGACCACTTCCTGTTGCCTGCATATCAAGATGTAGGACTTTCAGCTCCTTCTCCACAGCACCATGTCTGCCTGCATGCCAGTATGTTACACCCTAATGATAATGGACTAAACCTCTGAAAATGTAAGCCACTCCAATTAAATATTTTTCCTTCATAAGAGTTGCTGCAGTCATGGTGTCTCTTCACAGCAATAGAAACCCTAACTAAGACAGAATCTTTTGTGCTTCCATGTGAATTTTAGGAGCATTTTCATATTTTTATAAAATTTTGTGAATAATGTACTTGGATTTTGATGGAGATTATATTGAATATGCATTGCTTTTAGTTTTATAGGTATTTTTACAGTATGGATTTTGCCAGTCCATAAACATGGGAAATCTTTCTGTCTAGGTTTATCAATTTACTTCAATGTTTTAAAGTTTTTGTTGTAGATACCTTTCACTTCCTTGGTCATTTCTGGGTATTTTAAAAATACTTTTAGTAATTCTTTGATAATTTCATACAATATGTCTCTAAGTATTTTTAAAATCTATTGTGAATTGTAATATTTCTTTGAAATTTTGTCAACAAATTGATTATCAGTATGTAGAAGGCTGTATGTTCATTTTGTATTCTGCTGCTTTGCTGAAAATGTTTCCTAGGCCAGAGATTTCTGGTATTATCTACCATTTCATCTGCAAATGAGGGTATTTTACTTCCATTCCAATTTGTA